CTCTCTCTCTCTCTCTCTCTGTGTTTGTGTGTGTGTGTGTGTGTGCGCGCGCACTATTCTTTCCTAAATCACCTCTCTCCTTTCTGTTCCAAGGAGAGTTGGGCATATCCTATTCAGTCATTTTTTTCTCTGAGTTGTCACTTAATATGCCACTTAATTAGAAATTGCTTTCCAAAATGGGTACTTCTTTCTTCAAGCTAACTTTAACTTTATTATTTCAGAAGAAAGATGTGTAACACTGGTGTAACCTTACTTTACTCAATGTAGCCATGCTGATAGACTGGAATCTCTCTACACACGTAAACACTGCTAAAAGTATATTTCCATTGAGATTCTGAATAAAGTAGCTGAGAGTAAATATTATTTATCACAAATCTGTTGGCTAATGAGAGTTGCTCTAGGTTTTCAATACTTCCGTTCTATTATTACTTGTGTATCTCTAGCTACCCTGGGATGACTGTCTCCCAGGTATTTTTAATTTCTTTCATTTTCATGGATCTCTATGTTTCTTTTATATCTCTACTTGGAGCTTCAGCAATACCTTGGGTTAAAGTTTCAGTAGCTACTCATAATGACAATAATAACAGACCTCAGTCTTGTGTCAAGTCTACAAGGGGTGATCAATTAAAAATGGTGTAAGAAATGACTGTCAGATTTGATAAACTTCATAATACTTTCACTTTCACATCATAATACTTCTTTTTCCTGTAACATCTTTCTGTTTGGTTTTATTTTTCTATATTTTCCCCCATCCTGTAAGTCACTTTGTAAATTTCTAATATTTATTGTCTTTTGTCTATCTTGAATATAGAGTGTTATATCTCACAAAGACTTCTCATTCTTGCATCTTGCAAAGGCAGCTTCCAATTTACCATCTTAGCTGGAAGTAGTCTTTCATCTTTACACTACTCTTCTACAAAATATCATGATAGGAAAATAATTGGAGTCTAATGACTACAAAATGCATGCTTTGCAGTTCAATTCTCAGAGGAATGACCATGTTCATCTGAGGACTCAGCAGAATGTTTACTTTCCTTGCTTCCTGTGGCGTTCTGATATTATGAGCATGTATAATAACTGCACACTGAGATCCTCATGTAGCATGAATGTCTTCTCTAGCCTCACATTCACACCTCTGTTTATTTCCCAAACCAGTTGCAGAGGCTTGAGAATCACTGGAGCCTGAAGGCACAAAGATCACAGCAATAAATCTGAACATAGTACTTATTTTTGGTGCTAGTCAGAATTTATCCATCATGACTACAGTACCCATGAGAATACACTAAAAAAGTGCATTTTGTTTTGTTTTGATATTTTGTTTTTGTTTTTTTTTAATTGTTTGTTTTCATTACAAGTCATAGAGTGCAGCATATTAAGCTGACTCTATTTATAGCTAGATTCATGCTTGCTGATTTTAGAGGAAAAATGTCTGGTCATCGTGAGCCACTTTTTAATAGTTGGACCCCCACATTATACAGTTTCCATCATCTTCCAAAATGAGAACACAGTGTCAGAACCAGGAATTGATCCTGTGATTTTGTATGAGACATATTATATTCAATCTGGAACAGTATGTATAGAAAATATTTTAGTGTATACATACTAATTGGAATATTGCTTATGTACTGTTGGAGCATGCTTTCAAAGGCTTGTGTAGATGAAATTTTGATCATATTACTTAATAATATGAAGTAAAACTTTTATCATAAGAAAGAGTAATTTGCAGAAAATACTCTTTATGAAATTATTATCTTTGAAGTGCTTATGTACACACAAAAAGCTATTAAAAAGTATTTGGAAGAGTACCGATGTCCTCCTATTTTCTGTTATTATAATAATCAAAGAAAGATAGCATGAAAATATTAACATAAACATCATATTGATTCTGAAGTAATGTGTTGTGACACAGAATAAAAACAAATGATGCCAAGGAAGGAATAACACTATAAAGAAGACAAGAAATAATACATAGGAGTTTTCCAACGCTGTGATAAAAGAAAATATTTGTTTCAATAATACACAAATGTTTCAATAATATACAATAAGATTCACATTCTTCCACAGAGTCTATTAACTATCTACAGAGAGGTTCTTGATTTGATTATGGTGCCATATATGAGTTTAATCTTGTGAGGTGGGCTTTAAGTCCAATAAGGAAGTGGTTGGTTTTTCTGACATTTTTATGCCACTATTGAACCAATGGATATATAAGTCTAGTTTAATCGTTATTGTTGTTATTGTATTTTACAGGGTTCACAACAAGATAAGACAGCGTGCACAAGAATTTTGCAACCTTGACCTAGGCTTTTCTCTACACAGTATATTAAATCTTTATAACAGCCAACTTTGAAATAATAAGTGGCTTTGGCTACTAACTTTATACCAATAAAGATTGTTGACTTAAATATTAAGTTTTCCTTATCCCTCCTGACACTCTCCAAGCCAACTCTTTTTTAATCCAGAGAGAATGAAGAATAAAAAGAGTAATATTCCATCCTGAGAAATAGGGTAATGTTTGAATAGAAGTTCTTATCTATTTCTATCTGAGACTCCCCTACTCTGTTTTTATATTTGATTTCAACAGAAATGTATGTGTAATTATTTGTCTAGACTCACTTTCATTTTAGGATCCATATACATGAATGTTCATATCTTCTATGCATCTTGATCTTTATCTCTGTAGTATATGAAGAAAATAACTTCCGTATTTACTTATTTTATGTTAAGCCATGATGGTTTACATTCACTTTGAAGTTTTTGACATAGTTGTTGAATATTTTTAGTTACTTGTGAAATGCCTTGTGCAACTTTTATATATGAAATTTAGTATAAGAATTAATACATGATTTATGATCCTACATATATATGCAATATATAACAAAATGTAAATTTAAAACTTAGATGGCGATGAAATTTATAAGCAGGTTAAAATAGTATACAATGATAAAGTAAATTTTAATGAAAAAATATAAATAAAGACATTG